GTGCTCTCGCGTGTGCCAGCTGCCTGCTCATACCTCGCCACGGGTGGCCCAGGACTGTGGCTTGCCCCGCGGGCGGTATCTGCTGCCGGCCTGTCAGCGTGCATACCCTGAGCATGGACTGAGTGTGGAGCTGGCGCTGATCCCGCCTGTTCGTCGCCAGGTGTCGGAGTACATATTCGTGGTGGCCATGAGTGTGGAGCTGGCGCTGAAGGTACTGGCCGACGGCCTTCTCTTCACGCCCAAGTCGCTGATCCGTGACGTGGGCGGCCTGCTGGACCTCTTCATCTACGTGGTGGGCACGCCGTGCGAGTCTGATTCCCAGCAGGCTCCTGATGCGCTGTGTAGACCGCGCACCCACAGCGCCACGCACAGCACAGCATGCGATATATGAAGTGATTGTGCCCGTGTTATGCCCGATACCTGTATTCCTCGTGGAATTCCGAGTATCAGTACGCCGCGAGATGCGTCTGGTGCGCCGGCTGGTTGTGTTGTCAGAGCTTTGGGACTAGGTCAGGGGTCTGCGTTTGTGGCCGGGTACGGTGGATGATGTCGGTCAGGCGAGTTCATGTTGCCTCGGCCACCTTATAAGTGGGCGAAGTGCGACTGCGGTGGGCTCCCCCATTTGTCGGCACCGTGTTGTGGCAGCTCTGGGCATAGCGCAGGAGTGCCGCACTAGTAGTGTTTTTTGGCTCTTTGGCTGGCGGGGGATATTATATTACAGGAACTGTCGACTCCACAGGTGGCCGCCGGTTATGTACTGCCCTAACGGTTACTTGATGCGAAATGCAAATCTGAGACTTGCGACAAGGTTTTAGTATCGCATTCTCACATTCAGCGGTCTAGGTACCATAATCTGAGTAATTTTTTTGTGCACATCTCATTTTTGTCGTTTCCCATCCAAAACTACTGAATGAAATGCCCCTGGTGGCGCCCAGGTCTCAGGGCTGCTCTGCGTTCCTGTGTGCAGGTGTCGCTGGTGTTCCTGCTGTGGATGCCGGACGTGGTGGAGCCGGTTCCTGGGAGCAGCTGCTGCTGATCGTGCGCTGTCTGCGTCCGCTGCGCATCGTCTACCGTGGTGCCCGCACATGCGGCACTGTAAGTGCGCGAGCTGTGCCGTGGCTTCAAGGAGATCCTCTGGTGGGTGGCGCTAGGTGGGACGGGTGGCGCCCGTTGGGACGGGTGGCGCCCGTTGGGACGGTGTGTGCTGGTGGGACAGATGGGCGCCCGGTGGGACGGATGAACGCCCGGTGGGACTGGTGGTGGCTGGTGGGACGGATGGCGCCCGGTGGGGCGGGTGGGTGGCTGTGGGGAACGGATGACGCCCGGTGGAGACGGATGGCGCCCGGTGAGACTGGTGGTTCTGGTGGGTGGCGCGCGGTGCGACGGTTGGCGCCCAGGTGGGACGGATGGCGCCCGGTGAGACTGGTGGTGGCTGGTGGGTGGCGCGCGGTGCGACGGGTGGCGCCCGGTGGGACGGGTGGCGCGCGGTGCGACGGGTGGCGCCCGGTGGGACGGGTGGCGCCCGGTGGGACGGATGGCGCTCGGTGAGACTGGTGGTGGCTGGTGGGTGGCGCGCGGTGCGACGGGTGGCGCGCGGTGCGACGGGTGGCGCCCGGTGGGACGGGTGGCTCCCGGTGGGACCGATAGCGGCGAGCTGGAGTGAGAAGACGACGGGTTGGCTGGTGTACTACGCACACAGAGAACCCACCTGCGAGTGGAGCGGTGGAGGACCCATGATGGGCGGCAAAAAGACCGAGATATCCGAGTAGCACAGGCACACCGGCGCGTAAGCGCCTCTGAAGAAAAGGAGCGGGCTGTTCTGAAGTCAGTCGGCCTTGGGTGGCATCCGGCGGAGGTGGCCAGCCGTGACAGGAACTCCCCTGCCCGGCAGGTGTCCGTGCTGCTGATCCTGCTGCTGTACGTGTTCGCCAGCTACGGGGTGCAACTGTTTGGCGGCCGGCTGGCGCGCTGCAATGACCCTGCCATCCTTGCGCCGCGAGGAGTGCGTCGGCTTGTTTGAACGTGAGATCTTCGTCACAAGATGAAGATGACCGCACCGCGAAAACGAGACGTACCCCATGATCCTGGTGCCTCGCGTTTGGTGAGTGTCGCGGCGGACTGGCAGCTTGAGATTGCCTCGTGCACCAGCTCAGTGGCTGGTGACCATTGGGACGCATTTCCGACGACCGTCTGATAAATGCATCATCTCCCAGGTCACTGTGTGAATTCCTTGTGGGCCCTGCCCCTTTGAGTCTTCTTTTAGCATAACTTGCGTGTGAGCTGTGCCGGCGACCTCGAACTTTCCGTATCTCTAGTGGAGCAACAAAGTAATTGGGTGTCAACATTATGTTGATGACCGGCTTCATCATTTCAAAATTGGATGATAATCGTCATCGTAGATATGGAAAATTCCTCGTCGTCTCGATATTGCTCGAGTGCGATGATCCTGCCGTGACAGTGTGTTCGAACACATTTTATGAGGTTAAACAAATGCCAGATTAAGTCACCTAAACGCCATGCTGTGTTGTCATATGCAAATAATGTGCTACATGGCCACTATATAATGTAGTATGAAAACGCCATAGAAAAGGTGTCTTTATGTAGTCTGGAGGTCCATGCCTATCGCACACATGACGCGCCGGAGCGCCTCACGTGCCAAGCCGTCCCAGGTCAACTGCATTCTATGTTGCGTTGTACACGGGGAGGGGAGGGGGGGGGGGGGCAAATCGCACAGGTTCGGTGTTCTGCATTCTACCAGCTCGTGCTTCGCATACGGACTTAGGACACAGTTTGGCCCAAGGCCTGCCGTTTCAGACCATCAAAGGTCATTATGAAGAGGTTTTGAGGTGTGGCCCTGGCTGACCCACAGATGTGACCCGACTCGGACATTGGCACAGATGTGACCTGACGCAGACATTGTCAACCTCAGTAATTTGGAAACCATACTGATGCCTCGCACCGTGGCCAATTTTTAACCCTGAAATTCCGGCAGTTTTTCGCATTTTAGATTTGTGAAGCACATCGGCCTATGGAGCGTTGTGACCTTGACCCCGTGTCCGGCTGAGGTGACTATACGCCAGGCTTCGCAATGACGGCTAGCGTCGCCGGGCCCGCCATTGTAATTACAGTACAGATGTATAACTTTTGCTTCAAACTGGCTTCTACCTGCATTAGCGAGTGATCGCAATCGGGTCCGCTGTCTGTTGCCGGACCCGACCCAGTGTCGCTGTCTGTTGTTTGGACCTTACCAGTGTCGCTGTCTGTTGCCTGGACCTGACCAGTGTCGCTGTCTGTTGTCTGGACCTGACCAGTGTCGCTGTCTGTTGTCATGTTGTCTGACCTGACCAGGGGCGCTTGTCTGTTGTCTAGACCTGCCCAGTGGCGTCATGGGAAGTCTTGAGGTTGTCTTGGACGTTGCTGCAGCGTTTTCAAACTTGCGCTTGCATTGGCAATGTCGGCTGATGGTTTTCAGAGATAGGAGAGAAGCAGGGCAGTGTCGCCCCAAGCTGTTCGTTGGCGGCTGATTGCCCCCGGCCTTTGTTAGGTTCGAGTGTTGTGAGGCGGTGTGCATTTAACAGCGGACCTTAAGTATACCAAACTGCATTTTGAAGATCCATCACATGTGAACATAGCCCTTAATGTTGAAAAACCAGGGATTGATGGCATTCGCGCTACTGGCTAGTGGATGATTAGTATGTTTCATTCGCAAAGTTGTCAGCTGCGAGAATATCTCATTTCAATCGACCTCAGCGAATGATCAGGTTAAATCACAGGGTCGAATCTTGGTGGAGCTGTGGTACAAGGCTGAAGACCTATTCCGCCTCAGGGCAAACCCGCGACGGTTCAACTTCGATAAGATCGGCAACGCCATGTTGGCGCTGTTCGAGGTGCTCTCCTTCAAGGGATGGCTGGACATCCGGGACGTGCTGATCAAGCGGCTTGGTCCGGTGAGTGGCTGACCGGTACTGACGCTGCCGGCCCCTCCCGGGCCTGTCGTTGCTCTCCACCGGCGGGCCGCGGCGCCGCCCCCCCCCCCCCCGCCCGCCCCTCCCTCCCGGCCTCGCCGCCGCTCTCCAACGGCGGGCGGCGGCGCGCCCCCTCCCGGCTCGCCGCCGCTCTCCACCGGAGGACCCCTTCTGACCCTGACGTCGCTTGCGCATGGTGTGCGTGCCGCGAATGCTGACTATAGGCATAACGGAGGAGGTTATGGTAAACGCACATGCGCAGGAAAACTGTGCCGCCTGGTGGGTGGGCGCTGGTGCCGACCGATGTCCAGCCAGAGTCGGCGATGTTGGGTGTACAGATTGTACACCCAACATCTATAGCACACTGAAGTATACTGAAATTTGAAAGATTTGAAGCCGACAGCGACATGGAGCGTGGGCTTTCCGGCGGGCCCTTCGCCACTGGCGTGGCTGCTCACTTAGCGGTCTGCCCGCCCGTGTCCCGTGCCCACTCGATGCGCCTGTCAAAACCGCTCACGCGCCCAAGCGTGTTGTGGATTGCTTCTCCTGTTGTACATTGGCGTGCTGTCTGTTCCTGGTTTCACATAATTTTATTTTCATCATTAATATTGGGCTGTGCGGTGAGACCAAGCTATTTCTGCTTCCGTGTATCCGTCTTTCTACGCTTCGAATTCCTCTCATTTTCCCCATTATGTGGTTGGTATCCTCTCCGATCCCTCTCATCTTGTATCCCGAGCCTTGTCGCTGGCCAGTGCTGCCGATCCGAGATAAGAAGTCCATGCATTGTGCATTATGCATTAAGTTTGTAAGGAGGAATACTCCGTCATCCGGCCAGTCTCCGCCGTGGGGTAGTGATCTATTTTCGCACACGTCTGTCTTTGTCACGCCGCGTCCACGCCTTACTTACTCTCCGTTTTTCAGTCTTACGCTGTGTGCTCGTCTTTTTCCTCGTGTTTCTGTTGTTTTGGATCTCTGAGAGTGTGCGAGCCACGCCGACCATTATCTCCGAGCCAGCCGGCAGCTCTCATGAGCAATGTGAAAGTAACTCATACGAAACGTTAACGGACGAACTGGCGATGAAAGCCAGCAGCAAGCTCCGCCGCAGACAATTTAACACCACTGCCAAACCCGTCACATACCGACACAAGATGCGATGCAGCGGCACTCCGACGTATCACTGATATTGCAAGGCGTGGAATCATGCGACAGAACATTAATGCACTCTGTGTGGTCAGGAGCGAGCAGTAAACGTTTGCGATCCTTTAATGGCGCATGCGCCAGGGATTGCCGCTGGGATGTATACCAACGCTTTGAAAGCAGCTTGTGAAACCCGCCGAGATTCGAGCCGCGGTTCCAGCCTGCGTGGGACACGGGATTACTGGCAGGTGGTGCTGATAACGCTTTTCGAGCCACGGCGAAATTACTGACTTTTGCGGCGACAAGTGGGCTCTATAAGGCGAAGGATTGGCCTGCTTCTCGCAATAATAAGCTGAAAGAGACTGAAACACTACTATGGCAAGAACATGCGAGTTTTTGACGCCGTTCGCTCTATAGATTTTAATGTTGCGTTTCGAAATTCCCTGGTGGCTTGTCTTGGCATTGATTAAACTACGAAAGCTTGTTTGATCGATGATTAGTGATATTGTCGGTCAAATTTACATCTTACGCCATGGTCAAGTTTTTACGCGGCAGGTGAGTGTTGCTGTATGAACAAGCCGTCTCAGTACCCTCAAGCTCGGATGCGTTTGGTTTGTGACTTGCGTCTTATAACACCGCTTGAAATCTTGTCTGTTGCACAGGTGCAGTCGATCTACATCCACATATTCGTGTTCATCGGCTGCATGATCGGCCTGACGCTGTTCGTTGGCGTGGTGATCGCCAACTACTCGGAGAACAAGGGCACGGCGCTGCTGACCGTCGACCAGCGGCGCTGGTGAGAGCTCGTGTGGCGGGTCGCTCCCGTCCACCTCCGACCAGCGGCGCTGGGGAGAGCCCGTGTGGCGGGCCGCCCCCGTCCACCTCCGACCAGCGGCGCTGGGGCGCTCGTGTGGCGGGCCGTCCGCTGTCACGGTCAGCGGCGCTGGGCAGAGCTCGTGTGGCGGGCCGCCCCCGTCCACCTCCGACCAGCAGCGCTGGGGCGCTCGTGTGGGGCCGCCCCCGTCCACCGTCGGCCAGCGGCGCTGGGCAGAGCTCGTGTGGCGGGCCGCCCCCGTCCGCTGTCGGTCAGCGGCGCTGGGCAGAGCTGGTGTGGGGTCCGCCCCCGTCCGCTGTCGGCCAGCGGCGCTGGGCAGAGCTCGTGTGGGGGCCGCCCCCTGTCCACCGGAGTCCGGGCTACGCCGCTCGATTCTGTTATCTTAAGCAGCGGCTGCCCTGCGCTCTGATATTGCGGTCACACTCCCACCTCCGCACGTTAGCTGTGCTTTCGGGACCAGTGGACAATGACTTTGCGCCGTGTCTCTGCGGCGAACTCTGGAATTACTTTAGAAATTGACTCGTTTTTTATACCGACCGTGCGGTACTTCAACATGGACATCAGCGAGCATCGTCCTCGCGCCGAATGCGTCGATGCGTAGCGAAGTCGGTGCCTGCAGGCCTCGTCGTTGAGCAGAAGCATCCTCGGTAGTTTTACACCGCCGCATTCTGCTTGCTCTCCGCGCTTTCCTGAGCGTGCCTGCTGACCGCCTTCGCCGGGCTCAGGTGTGACTTGAAGAAGCGTCTGAAGATCGCGCAGCCGCTGCACCTGCCGCCGCGGCCCGACGGCCGCCGCTGGCGCGCCGTCGTCTACGACTTCACGCAGAACATTATCTTCAAGCGTTTCGTAGCCATGCTGGTCATCACCAACAGCAGCCTCATCTGTGTGCAGGTGAGCTGACGGTGTCAGTGTGAGCCGGACGGTGGTTACTGACTGCTTAGGTCGGTGGGTGCTCGGGTTCACACCGAAATAGCATGTTGTGGCATTTGTTCATTTCTCAGCTAAAGTGGGCAAAATTCTGTCTGCAAGGATAGATTTTGGCGATCGCGTGATAAAAAGCTTATTTTTGCATGTGTTTGGCGTATGTGATGTTGCCCTCTTCAGGGATCGGTTTGTAGCCTTATGTTGTAACTTCCCGGCAGGGGCCATTGGGGGAGCACCTGTCGCTGAACCAGTGTCTGTCTGTCTCAGTCCGTGTGCGGTCGTCTTCCTCCCACAGTGGGACTACGCGGCCGTATACACACCGTATCTGGCCGTGGTCTCCTCCGTCCTCAACCTCTTCTTCATGCTCGAAGTTGTGATGAAGATGATCGCCTTCTCGCCGCGGGGCTACTGGCAGTCGCGTCGCAACCGCTACGACCTCTTCGTCACCGTGCTCGGTCTCATCTGGGTCATCCTCAACTTCACGTTCCCCATGGTGAGTTGGGCCTCCGCCAGCCGTGCACTTTCTCTGAACTGAGGTGACGGCAGCGTGACGAGAAGTGCTTTGTCCAATTTACGAGTAGCTAATATGGAGAATGCCTTCAATTTGATCCTGTCGTTACCAAACGGCATTGCCTTATGGGTTCGACTATTTTGACAAACACTCCCCCGTCCCCAAGACCAAGATGCAAAAGAACTACACCAACTCGCTGGGATTCATCTGCATCATCCTGCGTTTCTTCACCATCACGGGCAAGCACGCCACCCTTAAGATGCTGATGCTCACCGTGGTGGTATCCGTCTACAAAAGTTTCTTCATCATCATGGGCATGTTTCTTCTGCTGCTCAGCTATGCCTTCGCTGGCACGATTCTGTTCGGCACCGTCAAATATGGAGAGGGAATCGGCAGGTGAGACGATGGGGCCCGCCACACATGGCGAATGCTGCTCACGATCACTCGATCAAACAGTCAGGTGAGACGATGGGGTCCGCCACACATGGCGAATGCTGCTTACGACCACTCAAGCAAACAGGCAGGTGAGACAATGGGGCCCGCCACACATGACGAATGCTGCTCACGATCACTCAAGCAAACAGGCAGGTGAGACGAAGGGCCCGCCACACATGGCGAATGCTGCTCACGATCACTCAAGCAAACAGGCAGGTGAGACGATGGGGCCCGCCACACATAACAAATGCCTCTCATGATCACTCAAACAGGCGTGTGAGACGATCGCGCCCGCCACACATGGAGAGTGCTGTTCATGATTACTCGAACGGGCTCATGATCAAGCGCTGTTAAATGCCAAACGCCTAACCATTTATACACTATAACACGTTGTAATATTCCGTTCGCCAACACAGGTTTATTGTTTTATACTTAAATCAAACAATTACTTGCAATAATGTCTGCCTGAGAAGCTCAGCCCACCACAGCTACACAGCGAGCCGCGTCGCACCACACAGACAACCCGCACAAAAGGCCGTCGCCCCACACGCAGACCCCGCAGCGGTGGCATGACCAAACACAGGTTCCTGTAATTCCTGCTAGGCGGCCGAACAACTACGGTTTAACGTCCACTACGGAAACGAACTTGCAAAACACCTGAACACCGCACACGTGTAATGAATCCGGTTTCTCGTCGCTGAAAACTGCAGGGACCTGCGACCAGTGGTTCCAAACATGTCTTTCTGGAAGGGGTGACGACTGAGCCTGGCCACTAAAGTTCACCATGTTTTCATGGTTCTTATAAGACCGGCCTGACCAGCGGACTCGCTTGTAACGAGTGACGTGCCTTTGGGGAGGTCTGTCAGAATAGACTGAGGAAAACTGGCCGAACGGAAGTCCAAATCGTAAAACGTCAGCTCTACAGACCCTGATAAACATCATGGAAATGATCCAACGTTCCAGATCAAGGTAATGCATCAGCGAACATTTATAATAGGGCCTGAATCCAAGAGCATTCGGCGAAATGGTATGATGGATTTTTGGATCCAGGGCTCAGTGGTCCGACCCGAGGTCGATATCTGGAAGCTAGGAGCTGTCAGCTGACGTACCACCAGGGAGAGCGGGCGGTCAAACAGTTGACCCCGGCTGACCCGTCCGAACAGTCACGACCGCATCGCGTTACCCGCCGCGGCTGTCGGCAGGCAGGCCAACTTCAAGACGGCGCCCAACTCGATCGTAATGCTGTTCCGGATCGTAACGGGCGAGGACTGGAACCAGATCATGCACGACTGCATGGTGGAGCCGCCGTCGTGCACGCCGGCGGCGCGCGGCTCCTCCTACTGGCTCACCGACTGCGGCAACTTCACGGTGGCGCTCGTCTTCTTCTGCTCCTTCTACGTCATCATCACGTACATCGTGCTCAACCTGCTGGTGGCCATCATCATGGAGAACTTTTCCCTCTTCTACTCCAACGAGGAGGACGCGCTGCTCAGTTACGCCGACATCAGGAACTTCCAGAACACGTGGAACGTCGTGGACAAGAACCAGCGCGGCGTTATCCCCGTCCGCAAGGTCAAGTTCATCCTGCGTCTGCTCAAGGGTGAGATGGTTGCCACAGCGCAGAAAAGCGTTTGTAACGTGTATGGTGGGATCTGGTGTCACGGCTGGTGTTTCGCGAAGGAGGCAGTCAGGGTGTGGCATGGAAGCTGGTATGTTTAAACCAGTTTGCGTTGAATCATTCATGTAGACGTTCGAGTTTCTGTGCATAAGTTGTGCGGATGAATTTGGTTTTGAGACCCAGATGTATGTCGTATGTCCTTGAATGCAGTGATACATTCTGGTTGTTTAGGCGCAATTACGCAACAGTTTCGACGTAGGAAATTTTCCGGAAAGTGGCTCATTACACGTTATGGGCAAATACCCAGACCGAAAACAGGATGCATTTTAAGGTCGAAGTTTTTGCGTGGTACGTCAGACACGTGCTGGCACAACGCCACGGCCAGTGCCACAATCGCCCCGCTAACAGACGCCGGCCGCGCCGCAGGCCGGCTGGAGGTGGACCCGCAAAAGGATCGACTCCTCTTCAAGCACATGTGCTACGAACTGGAGCGGCTGCACAACGGCGAGGAGGTGACCTTCCACGACGTGCTGAACATGCTCAGCTACCGCTCTGTGGACATTCGCAAGAGTCTGCAGCTGGAGGAGCTGCTGGCCCGCGAGGAGCTGGAATACATCATTGAGGAGGAGGTGGCCAAGCAGACCATCCGGCAGTGGTGAGCGGCGCCGGCGAACGCGGGCACCCTTCAGACCAGGGAATCTGCGCAAACGTTTGTAACGATAACAACCATCGGTCGTCTTCATGTCCGATAGGCTGATCACCTGGATTGTTTTCGGCTCATGCCAGTGTGTCTCACGTTAGGCTGGGCGTGTGACTTAGCTGTGTGTACCACATTTGTGTTGGGGGGGGGGGGGGGGGGGGGTGAGGTTGTAGTGAATAGCCATCTTGGAGAGCGGTCGGTGCAGTTCACATCATTGCCCTTCGTAAGACCTAAACCCGTCTAGTTTCTCAGGAGCTAAACGCCCGCGAAGGTGCACAGACTATTCCGGGGAGGCTATGTCAAGGTTCCCCCAGTCATCCATGACGCCATGATAACGTTATTCAAATCCCGTCATTCTATTATCCATGCGACGATCAAGGCCAAGAAAAATTAATTGTTGAGTCGGTAATATCTAGCGTTCGTGAGCGTAAGTTCCAAACAAAGCGGCCATCGATTCGCTCTCAATTAGTGTTGTGCAAAGCACGATGACGTAATCAAAACCACGATGTATTTAGGATTATATTTACTCAACAGAGACATTGCGTTTCCCAGAGCAGTCTGTATACCAATAGTTGTAAGACTATTTCATCATAGCTGATGCTTGCTTCAGTACTGTGAAATGACAAGCATTCCCTGGATGTTGGTCTGTCGCTTGGTCAACTGTGCGAGATGTTTGGTGTTGCTCTGGGCGCTGAGCCGTCCGGCGCCGGTGCCCGCCAGGCTGGACGGCTGCCTGAAGCGGATCAGGGCGCGCGAGCAGAGCAGTCTGATCGCCGGCCTGCGCGCCACCAACGAGCAGGCGCTCATGCGGCTCAACGAGGAGCGCCGGCTGGAGCGCGAGAAGGAGAAGGAGGAGGTACGGCCGCGGCCGCGCCGGCAGCGACAGGTCACGCGCCACGATCGCAGCGCTCATGATGTGTCCTGTAGGCTGCGGGCCGGCGCCGGCGTGGTGCGCGTCTTCTGGCTTCCTTGTCGACCATTCTGGTGGCTAACGACGCGATTTTCGCAACCTTGCCAGTTTTCATGTCGGCAGTGGTAATCTAAAACGCCGTTCGCACTATGGCGTTTCAGTCCGTTTTATGCAGCAGATTCTGCACCTGTCAGCTGTTCACACCGATTGGGAGACGTCACTGTGGCGTCACATCGCCCGCACTGCCTGCAACAGTTGGCCGCAAGACATTTTTGCCACAATTCTGTCTTTCGGCTGGTGTTGTTTTCGTGCAATGCGACACTTTTGGGTTTGCTTTAACGTTGGATATAGGTAGGGGCACCTCCTATCTGCCCGCCCCCCCCCCCCCTCCCTCCCTCCATCCACGGCCCTGTTGGCCGCAAGTAAACCGGAGCCGACCTGAACCACTCAGCTACTTGAGTCGCTTGTGTGCGTGCTCTCTGCGGTGTTGTCAAGCTTACCGCGGTTACGTCACACTTGGAGACATTTTTGGAAGCGCAACATACGACAATTTTCTTTCGAGTTGCCAACGGCTAGTGAAAAGGTGCTGAGCTCGCTGATGCCCGTCGCTGGACCGTTGTCGGACCTCCTGTCGTGTTCAGTGGTCTGATCGCGAGTACGTCGGCGGCAGAACCTGCTGTAGACGGGCTGCGGGTGGTCAAGGAAGACAGACATTCTCATTGGCGCTCAGGGCGAAGTGACGTCACACTATTTGGGTCACGGTCTGACGTCATATTTCGGACTGGGCCGCGACAGCCGACCGACTGGAGAATGTAGTGTAAAAACAGGCTGAAATGCAATAGTGCGCGCGGACATTGATAATACCGCTGCGTTGCGCGCTTCAGTCGTCCTCTCTTCTCGTAACGAGGCCACTTGCTTTGAGACCTGCAATCACGCCATGTGGGTGTGGCTCGTTGATGTGCGGTGCTGCGATGTGGCTGCGCCGTTCTCTCATAGTTTGCGCGCGCTCAGGAGCCGGCCGACCCGCCGCCGCGCCAGCGCAAGAAGGGCGTCTGCATGGGCCGCTCGGACTCGGTGGGCTCGGCAGCGCGCAAGTTTCTCACGCCGTCGCTGAGTGACGCCAGCGTCGTCAAGGACAAGGAGCGCACGGCCAGCAAGCGCCGCGCGCGCTCCGCCGGTGGGTGCGGCGGCTCGGCCCGAGACATAGCTGCGCGTTTGTGTGTGTGTGTGTGCGTGTGTGTGTGTGTTGTGTGTGTGTGTGTGTGTGTGTGTGTGTGTGTGTGTGTGTGTGTGTGTGTGTTGTGTGTGCGTGTGTGTGTGTGTGTGTGTGTGTGTGTGCGCGTGCGCGTGCGTGTGCGTATGTGTGTGTGCGTGCGTGCGTGCGTGCGTGCGTGCGTGCGTGCGTGCGTGCGTGCGTGCGTGTGTGTGTGTGTGTGTCAGTACGTGCTGCGTTTTGCTTAAACGGCACTGCTTCGCTATCATCTGGGAATGGGTGTTGGCCGGCTGTGTTTAGAGCGAAAAGGAATCCACGTGTCTGGTACTCTGTCGAGGTACTCGTCGGCGTAAGACACAATTTTCGCGTGGCTGGCAGCTAAAGCCAAGTTCATTGCTTAAGTGGAAGTGAGTTGTGTGCACACTAGACTAAGTGACTTGCTTCATTTGCCACCGAGAGCCAGCGCGCATGGCTGCGCGCGTTTCTGTCCATCGCTGGCGATTGCAAACTGTCATGCTGTTGATAAATGCGTGCACGCTCCGCAAAAATACTTGTCATTTGCATTGAGCCTAGGTAATGGCGCTGCCAAACATGTTGATGTGTGTCATCAGACTTCCGCGCCTATTGAACACCATCTCAGAACGCTCGCTGAATAGTGCCGCCCAGCCTTGTATGGCCTGCTGCCCGGGCTCCGTCAGTCTCCCATGTGTGGCCCGTCCCGCCGACCCGCCCTCCTCGTTGGCCGTCAGTGGGTAACAAGTCTCTGCCGGACGTGAACGAGGCCGGCGAGGCGGCGGCGCTAGCGTCACCGGACACGCCGCGGCCGGTGGCCGGCAGCTGCCCGCCGGCCGCCGCCGCCTGGTCAGACGTCACCGGCTGGTGGGCCGACCACTGCGAGCTCACCGCCCAGGAGGACTCGTCCTCCGTCTGAGGATGGGACCACTGCGAGCTCACCGCCCAGGACTCGTCCTCCGTCTGAGGATGGGACCACTGCGAGCTTACCGCCCAGGAGGACTCATCCTCCGTTTGAGGACGCGATCACTGCGAGTTTACCGCCCAGGAGGACTCGCCCTCCGCCTGAGGACGCGACCACTGCCAGCTTACCGCCCTGTGGGACTCTGTCTCCATCTGAGGACGCGCCATTATAAGCTTACTACCCAGGAAGGCTTGACCTTCGCCTGAGGACGCGACCGCTGCGAGCTCACCGCCCGGACCTCGGAGGACTCGTCCTCCGCCTGAGGACGCGACCACTGCGAGCTTATCGCCCGGACTCGGCCTCCATCTGGGGACGCGCCACTATGAGCTTTCTACCCGGGAGGACTCGTCCTCCGCCTGAGGACGCGACCACCGCGAGCTTACGGCACAGTCGAGTTCAGTCACCGCCGTGTTAATGAACTTTGTGATTGCTGTCATCTCCCCTGTCGGTTAAACCAATGAATGGCGCGATGTCACACGTTGAGATGTACCGTAACCTGATTGTTCTAGTCAGCCCTTGGCGGCGGAGGCGGCGGTGACTGCAGCCTGGCCAGCTACCACCGCTGGCCAGCTGCCGCCGCAGCTATAGCTGCCTGGTCAGCTGCCGCTCACCGGCTGGCGGCCAGGCGACCAGTCAACATTCGCCCCAGACCGGCCTGAGCGGGTGGTAACTGCCGGTTTACACTGTGTGGTGTAGTGCACAGGGCGTTTACAGTCGACTACGGATTGTTAAATGTGTAGCGACTTTGATGTGCCAGTATAGTGATGTGCTTTTGTTCGCTGTTCGATGTAGCGTCAGATCCGGTTGTGCTGAACGTTGTTAGCTATGTCTAGCTTTATTTATAGATTTAGAGCGAGAGAGGGAAAGCGGGTCTACCAAATGTGTTCCTGTTTCCTGGCGGAGCAAAGAATCCAGATTCCGGACGGCACGAATGCTGGACAGAGTGCCACCCCTGTGCTTTGTCTTCGCAGAAATACTATGGTTGAAACGTTGCCGCAATATGCGCGTCATCATTTGACGTTAGTCTCCCAGTAGGCTGGTCAAAACTGCGCAGAATTGCAACCCAAGGAGGGGGACGCGAACATAAATACGAAAGGAAGCAAAGGGTGGTATGAAAATTTCAGGTATTTAATTGAAATAGGAAGTTTCGCTGGTCGCAACGTCGTTGGTTCCGCCAACAAAACTGGTTGCGATTAAATGGGTAGACTGTTGCAGCATTCTTCCCAGTATTTGCGGTTCTTAAGATGCGAAAGATAAAACGTGCGCGAAATGAATGTGGAAGGTAGGATGAGAACTACGCACGTAATTGACTCAGCAATATCCCGTAGTCCCAGTGGCCCATCTTTTCGGGAAAATTTGGGCCTCGGCACGTGCTATGTGGGGATGATTTGGAGGAAGTGGTTTTGTCGTTATGGTGCGTTGTTTGTTTTATGTTGGATGTTTTAGTTAGGCAGCGGCACGGTAATGCAAGGTACATAATTGTCAACATCTCAGTTGTTCATTTTGTTGGGGTTGAAGAATTGCTTTCTGGATCATGATTCTCTTCTCTCCACGAGAGGTTATTTTTGGTAGGCCCAATCTCTTTTAGAGATGTTTTATCTAGCACTGGACGCGCTTTGAACGCTGTGAAGCTGGTCACTGGCGTCGTGGTGTTCTCGCGAGAACCACGGTGTAGGAGGGCAGTTGGTGCTGTGCTTCGCGGGCGGGCTGGTGGCCTCGTTCTCAATCTTCCCTGTTCTCAGTCGTTTTGTGGTGAACTGTAATCGCGATAGTATCGCTATTTTTCTGTGGCGATCTTGTGTCTTTTCTGTGGTGCGTTCGACGCGTTCCGTTGTGCGAGCTCAGTTGGTCTTGTCTTGCAGTATTATTTACCTGCGATTTTGAAATTTTTTTTTCCCGATAGTGACCAAATTGCGCTGCAACGTTGGCTAGCTTAGATCGGTCCTAGGAGCCTCCTGCGTTTTGCTTAGTGTTTGGCAGGAAGTGCTGTGTTTTACCCGAAATAGATGTATCGCGCCGACGCCGGGCCGATGAACCGTCCGCCAGTACCATAAGAGCTGCGAGCGTTATCCACTGCTGTGACTGCTGGTGGGTCTGTCACGCCCGCTCGCCGTCTCCCTACGACCGTGGTGGGTGCGATCACACGGCCAAATGCGTGGCAATCGCCTGCAACAGCACACACCGCCGTGTTCCGGTCTTTCGCTCTGTTTCACTGCTGGGGAAACCGGACAAAACAGGAATTTGGAGTTTATTGGGCAACGGCAGGGGTCAAAGCTGGTCACCGTCGTGTATCGTTGTGGCAGAGTATGGCACGTGTGTAATTGTTTCGCTGCAAGTTGACAATGCTTGTCGACCAGCAGAAGGATCATCGTATCTTCGTTTTGACTCCCAACAGATTTGTGACGAACAGTCGGCCTCATTTTGCCTTACGTGAATCATTGTGTTCTAGTCATTTCAGCAGCGTTATTTGTGTTAAGTGTTCGTTGGCATCGTCTTGTCGAAGTCCAAATAAAATATGAACCCTTAATAGGAACTTGAACCTTGGGACCAGCAATCGCCAATATATTTCAGAATAGCCCATTGCGCGGCCTGCCGATTTCCTATTCACGTGCGTCGCTGAGCAACTTGTCAACGATCTTGCACAATCCCGACTACGCTCCGCAATAGGAATCGACGCCCCGACGGGAGGCGCTGCTGGGCGTGCCGGCAGACGGCAGGCGCCGTCTCCTCCGTCATCACCAGCTGCGGACAGGCCGGACGCGTGCGACACCTCTCAGGGCTCTGCGCCGCGGCTGCGGCGGAACACCAGCGTGCGCCGCTGCGGCTCGTCGGCGTCAGCCGACTCGGCCGCGGCCGGCGGCGGGCTCGACGACTGCGAGTCGCGCTCTTGCAGCCGCTTGCTCGAGTACTTGCCCATGCCCGGCCGGTAGATGGTGAGTGACGGCCGGTCCTGGCGGCGGCGGGCGGGTCAGCGGCACAGAGCGAGCACAAGCCCTCCTTACAGCGCCACGGTACGTCGAAATACGCTTGTCCGCGATCAGCCGCTTATGCTATCCACATTTCCTGCGGATCAACTTTACCTTCGCGGTCCACGTCAGCGGCCCGACCCGAAACATCGCAGCATTTTCGTGCTCTGTCGCTACAGAACGCGAGGCGCGGCCAACGGGGAAAAATCATTTCGGCACTCCAGAGCGGTGCCCCGGGACCACATTAGCCCAACACGCGCGGCAACAAACGCCATGCGCATGTTACCAGTAATCACAAATGCAGTGTTTTTGGAAATTATGTTAAGTTAAGAAGTTAAGAGTTAAGAAGTTATGTTTCCGCGCATCTCATCTGTCCTGCAGTTTGCATGCTGGGAACGCCCCTGTACCGCATCTCGCAGGGTGCGTGTCTGTTCTGTAGCCACGACATACGAAAAGCCGGCGGCTGGTCCGGCCAGGACCACGCGGGTCGCTTGAGTATGCCAACAGTTAACAAAGTTCAGCCCTGACCAACATTGCCGGTCGCTGAGCGTCTTCTCGCCTCTTTTGTCACGACCGCATGCTTAAAACCGTGACTCGTGCTCCAGCAGTAAGGAATTCAAAGCCCTGAGCGTCTTTGGGCGTCATCAGCACTTAACCTTGCATAAACCATTTGCGTCAGACTTCTGGCATAACAAGCGCCCTGTCATAGGCCGCATGCACAGACAGCGCGTCTCGACGATACTGATGTGATCCCTGGACCCTACAGCGCAACGCATACGCTGAGCTCCGGGGACGGCTGCGTGCTGCCGGCCTTTACTGGATACTGATCATTACATCGTCATGCATATTTCAATCAGGCGGATATTACGCCTGCAACCCCGAGCGTTCCTTGTTCGAAGCCTTATCGGTCAACCCCTGATTCGGAAATCGGACAACCTCCTGCTGGGTGCATCCATTCAAGGTCCTCACATTTGATACGGCCAGTTAGGTCCGCCGTGCCCCGCGTCCTTTGCGCTCACCGCAGTTTAAGTGCTCTCCACCCCCGTACCGACCTTGTTTTTGATGCGCCGGTCTGCCTTCGGCTCCCTGCGCTTCGGCTCCGAGCCGTCCCTGGCGGGCGCCGGCTTGGCGCCATCGCGCGTCGGCGCCGTCGCCCCCTGTCGGCCGACGTCGCCGTCCCCACCGCGTCTGTCCCCCGCCGACAGCTTACCGGCCGCCGCCGACGCCTCGGAGCTGGCCAGACAGAGCCGGTGGTTACCCAAGTCAGGCGCACACAGCACAGCCATGGCAAGACCTTTCGGCTCGGGATGTGGGACAGCGTATCGATATTTATATCACGCGGTTTTTTCTCACAGTGTAAATGCCCGACTAATGAACTCGGCGAGAGCACGCGTTGGCAATGGTTTCCCAGCGCCATGCGTGTTTATCCTGGAGGTGGCATCAGATTCATCACACAAAAAGTGGCGGAGCACTGTACGTTCACGATCACACACCTGGTATCAGAAGGATGAGGGTGTTTCTCAGCTTTATTCTTCCTGTCCTCCCATTCCTTGTCCTTCCTTCGCTCTTCTTTCGCCTGCTTGATTTTATCCTCACGCTTGTGCTTTTCACCCTCTTTCCATCGCTCCTCCTTGTCCCTGCGTCTATATTTCTCTTCTTTATCACTTCTGCCAGCGTCTTTACCGTGTTTCTCCTTGTGCTTGTCGTCGTGCTTCTTCCCCGCGGGGCCATCATCACGTTTTCTTTCTTGCTCGTCATTCCAAAGCGCCTGCTGGAAGGAAGATAATGTTAACAATATTAAACAGAGTGTTCTGTATTTGTACAGAGTCGTGAACTGAAATGGCTATCTTCAAGATCATTCGGTGCAGCTCACAGCCCTGCCCTTCTGAGAACCCAAGACCCCTCTAATTTCTGAGCTACACCCCAGCGAACATGGGGAATTTTTTTCAGTGAGAGTATCCCCAAGGTCACCTTGAAATTCATGGTGTCATAATGGACATCATGCAGACCTCTGTCATTTCCACAAGCCATGCCGGCGATCGGAAGTCCAAGAAAAACACAATGGCTGAAGTCGTTTCATATCTGGCGTTCGTGAGCACGATTTTCTAGATATAGAGAGCCTGTATAACGGTGGGGGCAGAGTAAATGCGCCTGGGAGGGACCACACACGTGAGGCCTGGACGGCCTCCTGTCCCCCACCCCCCGGCCCCGCCCCGCCCCACGCCCCCCCCCCCCCGCCCTCCCCCACCCCCCCCCACCCCCCGCCCCCCCCCCCCCACCCCCCCCCCCCCCCCCCCCCCCGCCCCCCGCGCCCCCGCCGCCCCCCGCCCCCCCCCCCAGGGATCCTCTCTGAACGGGGTGCACTGCGGCGCTCGGACGGGAGCACCCACCAGGCGGCCCTTCTGCCCACTTGTAGCTGGCGCATGCGGCCTGGTCATCGGATAAAGCAGGAAATTACGGCAATTCAGGACAAAGCAAAACAAAGGAAAATGGCAGATATCGAACAATAACTACGTTTTGTGCTACATAACGCGGAAATTTGGACAATGGTATAAATTATGATGGAAATAAGATTTAAACTGAACGACTTAACCCTCGCCTTGACACGTCCATCTTCATAATGTAAACTAATAATGGGGAGGGGGTCGATGCGATCCCCTGGTGTTTACAAACAAACATTTTATCATATACGATGCTCGCTTCAATATCTTCAAATGCGGAACAATTTCTTTAGGCGATACAACTGCGTCCACTTGTACCCAACGTCATCACATCAAATGTGCATGAGTCCAGTGAAAACAGTGCGCTTATAACTAGTACGCACCTTAGAGGACTCTTTGGTGTCGTGTCGGCCCTTTTCTCTTGCTTCTCGCTTTTCTTTGCTCAGCTTTTCCTTGGCCTTCCGGGTTTCTTCTTTCCTCCTCTCGATCTCTTTCCGCCGCCTTTCCTCCTTCCTTTCGGCTCTTCTCCGACAGACGAATGTAACAAGGGGTGTAATCACTTGGTTTTCTGAAACCAATTAAGTGTTGTTAAAACCATAACAATCACAACTCTAACAAGAGCAACACTACCAAAAAAAACTATACCACGGCGAAAACAGATCTAAGCGTTAGTCAGCATAAAGTTATAACAGTGTCTCCAACAAAGCAAAAATAAACCAATCTGCATTCCGTTTTCTCCAGAGATCCGTTGCACCTCGCGTTTGCCACCTGCGTCCATTCGTGGTCAATTTGCATGTGTGTGACTGAATAATATTTGAATTCCTGAAACTATACATAGCAGTCTGCCACAATCTCCATTTCGATGTCGGCGTGTTATCAAACAACGTAACAAAAATTAAAAAAAAACTACGCCAGCAAAGCCTTCAGTCACAATGCCCACTAGTTTCAGCGGCACGGAACCACGCGTATGTCGCCCGCCCAAACCCGGCCCCACAAAGAGCATATGTAAGCCAGTACTGAATGTACGTAATTTGACGTCAATGAGCAACACGAGTGAGAAGCATCCTTGCATGAAAGCCTGTCGAAAAGATGCACGCCTAGCACTCCTGTGAACATTTCGATTGAGGGCCGTCTTTCACTTAGAGCCGAGGTGGTATCTGTCAGCATTCCCTTACATTTAAAGCATTCTTACAAAGCTGGTATCTGTAGGCATTTCCTCACACTAAAAGCATTCTCGCAGCGGACAATTCTTTGATGTTGCATATATTGGGTACCGATGCAGGTAAGCAACCATAACGTCAGGACACAGATGGAAAACCATGCAAATAGGTGGGCCAGTGATCGATGAAAATGCATAAAACGCAAACTTGGTGAGATAATGTAGCAGACTTGTGTTTTCTAACATTCCGCGGATTTTCTGAGTTATGTTTGTTATTTTGCGCTTTGCAAAGCTCGTTAAGTGTTCGAAATTTTTTAACATGAAGCCATACCTGTAAAAACGGCCTTATCGACCGTTCTTTTACTGTCGACTGGTATTTAGTGTAACCAGCATTTTTGGTTACCCTCCCCATACCTCTCAGCCAGGGCGCACGGCAACCCTGCCCCCCCCCCCCCCCTCTCTCTCTCTTCTCCCGCCAGCGTCGCATACCCTTGAGCTTCGCTGTGGCGTTTCTCGATCTGTTCAAGCGTCTCCTCCCAGGTGGTTGGGCTGGCCTCTGGCGGCTGCTCGCACTCCTGCAGGAACGCCTGGTAGCCGGCGTCGTCGGCGATGGTGCCGCTCTTGGCGTCCGGCTTCCGCGCGCGCCGCCGTGGCGTCCGCTGGTACAGGGCGAACTCTACCAGCGCCCGGAAACTCGAACCCTGCCCGCGGTTGTAGTGCGTATGTTGGTGGAAACGTCAAACCAGACTTCGTCTCAATAAGCGATGAGAACGCACAATGAACTTACTCAGAACGAAAAAAGCAGAATATCTGCGGCCAAAGGCGATGGACGACAGGTTTTCGGTGTCTTCACTGAATGGTCACACACTCACAAAACATCATCAAGTTGGAGAAGTGAGGCAATGCTGCTTTTAACTACGCAAACCAATAACTTTTGTTTGAACTGCTACAGATGTTACCTCATGACTATGCTGCAGCCCGACAAAGTCTAAACCGAGCTCAGCCTTTTGATGACAATGATAATTAGCGCACCGACAGGCGAGGTCACTGCGCACTAGCTACTTCTGCCTTTGACCATCTTACCTTGCTTATCGACGAAGACGTAGCCATCGAACCGGTCCCGAAACGTGACGATGTCGTCCATGTGGAGGAAGTTGATGTAGGCTCGCGAGAAGGCATGCTGCGCCAGACCGGGGTCGGCTGGGACAAACCGGATGTGGTCGTGCTCGGGGAGGGGAGCCACCTGGTCCCGGAACGTCTCCAGCGTCATGTCGGGGGGCAGCCGACGGATCACCACCTGACGACGTCCGCCGCAGTGTTACACCGTGACGTGACGGCAAGGCATGTGACACCCCTCTGCTGACGTCATCTCCAGGTGATCACAAATTACAGAAGATGGCACGAGGTACAGCTCTACCTCCATACCTCATTGAAAACATCATGACTCTGTCTTAATTGAGCACATTCTAGTGCAGTGCAATTGTCAGAATGTTGGGCTGAAAGCCTCTGTCTACAGAAGGCTGAGAACATTTGAACACATTTGTAGGCAGAGTGCAAACAATGACTGAAAAATCTGGGCAATAGCTATGTGGCAATCACAAAATAGTTTTCATATGTTCCCTTCTTGTCCTTAACTTTTGTATACATTCCTGTATCTGCTTAATGCCACTTTGCTCAAGTACTTTTTATTTGTGCTTTGTACTAATGCATACATTACAGTTCAGTTGCAACTTGCATTGCATCTTTACTTGCTCAGCAGTTTTGGCAGGTGTCTAACAGTTGTGGCTCATAAGTCCTGAACAGTTATAAAGAAGGTAACACATGCTTTTGAAACATAACACATAACACATACATAAACTTGTAACTGTTCTCAAAAGATCAAAACATTTGGGTGCCCACCTCCCTTCCCACCGATGCCATTCAAATATGTATCAGCCAAGGATCAAGATAATCTGGTCATTCAATGCACCAGCAGCCATTGAAGTTTGCAGGAACTTTGACTTTAGGGAGCATCAGGTGTTCAAGCTGATGTCTGCATGCCACTGGACCAGGGTTTCTTGGGTTTTAGTGGGACTGTACTTGTTCTGAGGTCATTATGACCAGGGTGCATTGCATTGCTGCAGTTTCTGACATTCCAGTTTGTGCAGTGTCAGTATAAGCATAATGCACCGAGCATAAATAATGCTGGATGCATAATGCGCCCACTATAAATGCATCATGAAAGAGGTACATCTCAAAAATATGTTTTTGCTTTTAAACATTAGTGCAAACAAAAGAACAAATAGCTTTAAGCCAAACACTGCAATTCTTGGTAATAATAACCATGTAGCAAGGCACAGAAGTTACCAGCAAGAAGATATGACACCTCTGTAGTCATCAATTCAAGCAAAAGAAAGCAGGATTTCTCCTCAGTGTGCTCAACACCATATTTCAAGCTACCAATTGTGTCTGACAAAGCATGGAAAGAAATAGCATTATTGCTTGTGGTGCTCTCTCATACATTATTATTTCTGTTCATTGTAAACCTGAACAAATAATGATTGAGTCAGTTTGCATCAGCATTAGAGGGCTGCATGTATAAACAAATTCAGGTCACGTCCAGGCAGAGCAAACTAAGTTGTTGGATGGGCCAAATTCTGAGCCAAGCATAACAATAACACATTACACAAAGTGACACACAAGGGTTCCATTTTTAATAACAAATAAGGAGGTGCCCAGAGCACGGCATACCGAATTTTCGCAGTCAAACTTAATGCTCTTACCTTCGTGGGAGGATGTTTGTTCTTGTCCTTGGAATTTGTATAGAACCTGTTCTCAGAGTGTGAGCGACCCTTGATAGCCATCTTTAGGCAGGGTTAATTCGGCTTTATTTCAAAGTTCTTAAATAACTCAGACGACCTCTCACAAGGCCACATAAGCACTAGATACACCCCGGACAAACGTATGGGCGGCACGTTATTATTATGCCCTTGAATGTACATGAAACCCACCCGCTCGTACACCACAGCCGCAGCTCCGTTCATACCCCTGCGTGTCCAAGGCCGTGAAGAAAAGTGGTGTCACCATGCGACTTGTTTACATTCTGGCAAGCTGAGGTATGACGCCACTGGAGACAACTCGGTAGCGCGCTGGGTGAGGGACGTGAGGGAGTGGTTTTCTGTAAAAGAAACGGAAGAGACAAGCCCATCTTATCAGCGTTCCCCGCTCGGAGACAGATGCTGGGAGGCGGCGCCTATTCACAAGAGCGCCGATCTTATTCAGCGAGTTCCCGCCTGAACCCCAATATCCTTGCAGTTGGCGATGTATTCAGCGATTTACTCAGTGATGAGTTCCTACCTCAGTTTTTTATAACAAAGTTACATGGTCCACTAAGCACAAGAACGTCGAAAGTTACATCTGCTCTCCAATATCATAGGTGATCTTTAAGGTCAAACTCAAGGTCAAAGCAGCAGGAATTTCATATCATCCAAAAATTACCAACCGATTGCAGCTTATAAGCATCACAATATTTACCTTCACAATAACCAGCGTCCATCAAACAGTCCTGAACAGTTAATGTCACCCTTCAAGGTCGAATTCACACTCCAAGAACAGAAAACTCCACATCACCAAAAGGACTGCCAAACATATTTCAAATTTTCAGGCATCAGAATCTTCACCAGCGTAGGGAACAAGCGTTTGTCAAAAGGTCCTGAACTCAAGGTCACCTAACATGACTTATCAGGGCTGGGCGAGCTGTCGCCGTGGTGGGCCAGGCTACGGGTGAGTACGCCGTGTCCGATACAGGCGCCGTCGACGGCGGCGGCCGCTTGAGCCGTCTGACGTCCTCGGGCATGGGGTTGGATGGGGCCGGCGACTCTGACCGCGGCGCGGCGGGCAACGGCGGCAGGGAGGGGAGCGGGGAGAACCCGAGGGGTACACGGGCACACGAGGGTGGCGACGCCGCATACACGTACTTCACATGCTGCTGTCCATTGCTGCAGATGGGCGCTGGCTGCTGTGCGTCGCCCCCACTGTCGACGCGAGTCTAAGTGAACCTTGTGTTCACTCGGCCACCACGCCATCGGCCCCGCTGCAGCAAGGGGTCGCTCGATTGCGAACCAGCGCTTTCACTCGCCGGTGTTGTAGGACCACGAAGGCCACGCGCGACAACGACGGCGGCACTGGAGCGGCGCGGAGGGGGGCGGGGGGGGGGGGGGGCTCGCCGGTGGTGGTGGAGGCACCAGGGGCAGCGGCGTCCGCTCATGGCGGAGAACCGCCTGGGGACACCAGCGCGAGCGACAGCGACACAGGCCTCGACGCCGGAGACGCTGGCGGGCTCGATGTACGCTGCCGCTCCAACGGCGAGTAGTTCCGCTACGCCGGGTCCAGGGACGCGCGGCGGCGACATGCGGGGCGACGCTAGGCAGGGCTGGTCGGCTCGGGCCCGCCACTCCTCCGCCCGGAACGGTGGTGGCGTGCGCGGGGGTCACCAGGGACACTCGCCGGCGACGCTGCGAGAGATGGTGGGAGTCCTCTGGCGTCGTCGGTGATGCCCTCAAGGGCCGTTGACTCGCAATACCGCGGCGGTTTGTCGCAGGGCGTTGCCCAGCCTGGCCAGGCGGCGATGAGGCGCCCTCCGGTGTCTCCTCTGATAGTGGTGACTCCCGCGGCCGCCGGCGCCGCTGACGGCGATCGCCGGCCGGTGGCAATTCCCGGCGACTCGCTCGAGCTGCGCACCCAGCCAGGACCGCGGCGAGTCCGAGGGCCAGCCGACGGCCCGGTGGTGTCCGCTGAGACGACGCCTCTAGTGAAGTCCTGGCTCGTGGCAGCCCGAGATGGACGGCCTGGACCGGTGCGACGTAGGGCCGGCGTGGGCAGCGGGCTCGTTAGGTCCAGAAAGCGCCGCGTGGTGAGGGTGGCCCGACACCACCGGGCAGCCGTGCGGCACCTCGCCGCCGGCCGGTGCCTGGCTCTGACCGGACCCGTGCAGCGGTGCGGGAGGGGGTCGCGCGGTGAGCTGGTCCCGGCACCCGGTACAGAGTCACGGCATGCGGGACACCGGAACGCCGCAGCTTACGCGCAGGTGCCGGCGAAGACTGGCGCGCTGCGTCGCCATGGAGCTGGCGACGCACGAGGAGCGGCACCCGTCTGGAGGGGCAGGCGGATGATCGCCGGGAGGCGGGGTGTAGCAGGGGAGGACCCTGCCGTCGAGCTCCGGCTGCCCCTTCGGTACGGGTGGCACTCGGTGCCGCGATGCTCCAGCGCGAGCGCAGCGCCTGGCGGACGGACGGACGGCCGACGAAGCACGTGTGTCAAGGGGTGAGTGACGCGCTAATACGAACGGCAACCACCTACTCCTTTTTAGGGCTAGGAACTCGGGGAACCGGCCTCAACAAGTGAAACACAGAAGAACCGGAAGAAGACACGTGCAACTCATATCACACACTGTGGCTCATCGCGTCCGTCTGCACCTTCCGGCGCCGGGCGGGAAGCCCACGGGCAGCACTTCCTGCGTCGGACGGGAAGCTCACTGGCGACGTCCGTCCGCGGCCGCTGTGTTCCTTGTTGGGGCCGGAAGCACCTCAGCACGGATCGTCGGCCCACGACAGCTGCGGGGGTCGCGCGGGGTATTGCCCTAGCAGATTCTCGAGAACCGTGTGGCCAAGATTACACATACATAGATCAACAGGGTGTGGAACCGAAGAGAAGAAAGAAACAAACAGTACAAACGTTGGCTGCTGCGACGGACCGAAGCTCTCCGTTACGAGCAGTGCTGGTGGCGTTTTAAGTACGTGATCGTTGTAACCATTGGTGGCGTAACTTACTACCCTTTGATATTATCTAAAAGACCAAGGATTGCAATGTCAATATCAGGCTCGAAGAATGGGCACTCCATGACATCAAAGCATTTCCGATCGATTTTAACTTTTCAAGCAGCAGAATATTCACCAGCGCAAGAACTAGCCTCCGAACTAGTGTATCCCCTGATCTGTCAAGGTCACCTTCCGAGCTCAAATTCAAGCTGAAGTGGTAGAGATCTCCTTGTCATAAAACCAGCCGATTTCGGATTTTTTACATATGATGATAATCACCAGCACATGAATTCAGCGTATCAGCTTTCAAGGTTAAATTTGGCCTCAAAAGGAAGGGGAGCTCCAAATCACCAAAAAAAAAATTGCCGGCCGATTTCGATCTTCAAGTATCAGAAAATTCCTAGCGCATTAACTAGCGTCCGTTAAAAAACATTCGTGCGGTGGTAGATATTCTGATGCTGGCCGGCAATTTTTTGGTAAATACGCGTCATTTGGAGCCTGCGCCTGACCTTAAGGGATGAACTTGAAAGGTCAGGACTTTTTATGAACGCTTAATTGTGCGCTGGTTGATTTTTTTTGGTGCTTAAACATCCGAAACCTGCCGATAATTTTTTGATGGCATGGTTCCCCGTCACTTGGGCCTACTTTGAAAGGTGGCATTAAGATTTCAGGCCTTTTTGACAAGACGCTACTTCTTATTCTGGTAAAATTTTTATGTTTGACGACTTTAGTTTTCCGGCAATTTTTGGCTATTGGAGTACGCGTTCTTTTATCTGAGCATGAATATGACTTTGGAGGTGGCCCTTGAGTTCTCAGAACCTTTGGACAGATGCTTTTTCTTGTGCCGCTGAACACTATCTGCTTAAAAAGTTTAAATTGGCCAGCAAGTTTTTGATGATGTAAGTTTCTCCGCCCTTTGGGTTTATATCTCACCTTGAAAGATCAACTTTTAAATTGAGAAGGTCCGACTTGTTGACGGAGGTTAATTCTTGCGCTAGTGATTGTCCCCGTGACTTGAAAATATCAAACATCCGCCCCGTAATTGTTTGCGATTTTGAGTTTCTCGTGAGCAAAGCATAAAATCGAAGTGTGACACCTGAGGGGGTCAGGGTTTGGGGAACGCTAGTTTCTTGCACTGGTGAATATCCTGATACTGGAAAAGTTTAAATCGGCCCCAACATTTTTTTTTGATGATATGGTGTTCTACTATTTGAACCTGAAATGAACCTCTTGGAAGGCCACCTTGAGTTACTCAAGGTTTTGACGGTTCGCTGGGTTTAACGCTGGTGAATATCCTGATGGTTAAAACAGTTGAAATCGGCCCCTTAATTTCATGATATACAGTTTCTCTTCTTCAACCTAAACTTGACCTCGAAGGTCACATGATATTGTAACATTTGAACTCATTTTGGATGGTGCTGTTCCATAATTAACCCAAATGACGTGTTTTTAATGAAATCAAACTAAGTCGCTGAAAAGATCGCCAACTTCACGAACATCACGGACCAGAGGTGCCATGCTGGATGCTGGGTACTTTCGTGGAAAAGTGTTCGAAATTCTCAGGATTCCATGGAAGTTTGGCATTTCCCTCCACGGATAATTTCTGTGACGTGCCGACTGAGGGATGCAAATGAGTACCCTTTGGATGCCTTGCGGCAGTGGTGTTATTTTTTTGTATATGATTAGGGGCCGGCTGCAACGACGGCCCGACCCCCCTCTCTTTCTCAATGGATTTAGACATCTAGATTTTGACGAAAGTCATATGTGTTTTAATATTTTTATACTTAAAAGATAGTACTTCAGTACTACAGCATAGACTGTAGGATTAGTAATATAGATCAGTTGCTGACATGATTGCGGATTCGTCTCCGCCATCAGAGCATGTAAAGTTCACCATAATAATAGTTCATAAAGTTCACAGTCATCCGTTCACCGGAGCGGTCGTGAAGTGTGTGGCTCGTTACTGTTTGCGGTCACTTGTTTACTGGAGCGGGTGTGAGGTGTGTGGCTCGTTACTGTCTACGGTCACTCGTTCACTGGAGCGGGTGTGTG